CCCCCCGAGTGGAGCCAACGTTAGGGAAAAAAGACAGCCGGAGCCAACGTTAGGAAAAAAAAACACCTCCGCCCAGAATTGATTCCTTCAACTTGGCTGCACAAGATCTTCTCTGGCCAGACGGCTTTGGGTCAGGCATGGGCTCCGGCCCAAAGTCTTTCACCGCGATATCAAGCCGGCAAACATCATGACGCTCGGTTGCACACGTGCGGCGGTGCTGCAGTCCGCATTCGTCCTGAGAACATCTCGGAGGTTATGCTATCCTTCCATGGCCAGAAGGATGGACCTGCCACAAGCAAAGCTAGCAGACTTTGGAGTTGCCAAGGCACATTTTTCATACTGAAGAGCAGCCGTGTTGATATGAGGGGCGGTGAAATTCTGGTGTTTTGAGGCCAGTGAATGCACTTGCTGGCTATGTTGCGCTGGCCATGTGCATCTTACTGGTCCCAGGGTTGTAGGGATGACAGTTGTGCAGTGCTGAGTTGGGCTGGAGGATGCTGGCCATGGCGGCGACAGCATGCACAGGTGTTTGCGCATCGATCACTGCCCTGAGCATGTTTTCATTGATTGCCGTTATGCTATCCGTGACAGTGCCCACAAGCATGCTATTGCACGTGTTCTATGATGCCATTCTATGCAAGAAACAAATTGTCCAACGGTTGGGTCAGCATTACAGTCTGACCCTGTACGGCCTGCAGAAGATTGTGTGAAGATTTGGAATGAAATCCGTACCATTGGGATGAAAGCTTTACGACGTTCGTTGGCCCCATTTGCTGGAGTTGATCCATGCATTGGGGACTTGTCAAACCATTGCATACTCAAGCCAAGTCAAACATGCATTTGGTGGCAGGTCTTGGAGTCCGAGGCTTCGACTGCTGGAACTGCCACTTTTATTGGGACGCCTCATTATTTGTCTCCGGAAGTGTTTCGTGGTGAAGTCTATGATGAGCGCGCGGATGCATGGGCTTTGGGATGTGTTATCTACGAAATGGTGTGCCAGTTGCGGCCATTCCACCGATTTGAAAGCAATGTCGCCCTCCTTTCGCTGCGCATTTCCCAGGGAGAGTATGACCGCGATCTGCTTGCCCAGCAATGCAAAGATCAGTCGACAGTGCAAGGCTCAGTGGAAGGCCTCCTGCAGGCTAACCCAGAAGAACGGCTGCGGGCGGTAGACGTTATTCCAGACTGGCTTGAATTACTTGCTTGCTGCAATTGGGATCAGAGTACTTCAACCGCTCCCTCATGTTGGAGTGAAGTGCCAACCCACCCCGAAACTTCTGAAGCAAGTGCTGCATCAGCAAGATCTCTGGATAGCGACAGCTGGTGCCATGCCGAACTGCAGACAGGTGGTGACTTGGCTGACTTCGGGGTATACAGTATGCTTTCAAAATTTGTTATCGACTCCAGTTTCGGAGGGCTCGGCTTGTCATAGCAACAGTCTCGCTCAGACGCCTTTCCCGGGACTAGATGCAACAGCTCGTGATGAAGCAAAAGGGGTACTTCTGTTTTGTAGATGGTGCTGACGCTGGAATTTTGCCGGGGCTTTGCATGGCCTCCTTTGGACGGATGGTGCCGGTCGAGGACTGGAAAGAGCTTGTGACAAGTGCAGTGTAAAGTGCTAAAGGATGGCTGAATCCATGGCTTTGCCGGTTTGGAAGTCTGAAGACACACTTTGAGGCATTGCCGAATTAGAGGCTGCACTGGAGACCGATCCGTATACTGTTGGAATCCAGACTCAGGCTTGCTTGAGTTTCTTTGGCTTGTACCTGCCCTTGAAGTTCCTCGTTAGCTCTGCAGAAAAATATGTCTCGCGCAGGTGCTAACTGTGCAGCCAGAAGCTCCCACCGAATCCCGCTTTGGTGGTATGGACATTCTTGACTTGCAGTGCCTGTTTTGCACGAGAAGCTTGAAGCTTTTGGTGTGGAGCATCTAGGAGGGTTACTGCCTTGGGCATGCTGCTGGCATTTTTTCTCAGCAGCCAGGTATGGTGTCGGAACCGTGGAAGCGGCTACTGTCGCGGATTGTGCCCCGCCGAGCCTGACCTTCTCGGGAAAAATGGGGAGCGGCCCTTGCTGCGAAGCATTGCGAGGAAGATTTGAGAAGTGTCCAGCCGCCACAATGACAAGCCGCCAGTTTTCGATGTTTTCCAGTCTGGAAGGCATGAGCAAAATCTGCAGCTGACTTCGCTTCAAGGTCTAATGTAGGTGCAGGGCCAAGCTGTCCGTGTCAGAAAAGGCCCTGCTTGCTGTTTGACACCCTTTTGAAATCTAGTCCCCTCAACAAGACATAGGTCTTCAAGGGATCTTCATGCAAAAAATGAATGTGGCAGGAGATAGGGCGGCATCTGCTTTATTTGCTCATCTGTCAGGCGAAAACCGACATTTCTGAGCACGGCCTGTTGATGTTAGTGGAGTGTAGCTCAGACAGCATAGCTCTTCTCTTTTTTCGATTGGCATACCTCCCCACAACTCAAGGCGCACATCAAAACCACGCGGGGGACTTAGCAGGGCAGTGCCTGTTGTCACATGGTTCAGTCAGGCACGACTTGTGCGTGCTTGCTTGTGCAAAATGCCGCTCAACGTTTGAAGCTTGCACCGCTGTGAATTTTCATCTTGCATTATAAAGTCATGAGCACTTGTAAATCATCAGCACGGCTCCCACAGCTTTAAAATACAGAGCAGTAAAGACGCTGGCTGCTGGTTTGTCCCGTTGCTGACATCATGTGGTTGTGCCATGGAGCAGACTCAAGAGTTGGGGAAGGTCGGACAACATGTAAGAGGATGAAAAGTCATCTTGGGTTTTGGCCGATGATGCAAAGCGAGGACGCAAGAAAACGGATCCATTCAATACCGGCTGCCCCGGTGCAGCCGGAGTGGAGCCAGACAGTGGATGTCCCAGTGCGGGCGCACAACTTGGTTTCTGGTGGACTCTTGGCATTGTAATTTGGGTGAAGGACAAGCTGAGCAAGGTGCCCTTGAAACCGTTGCAAGAAGTTCAAGGGACACTCATCTCCAAAAGGTTCTGCATGATCTGAGGATCGTCGCAATTCGAAATCGAGGATTATGCAATCTGTCTCAGCGCTGTGCCTGCAACGTCGTTTGGTCTGGATGAACACATCAGAATCTTTCCAGAGCTGAGGTCAAGGTGGTTGTGAGCCACTGATGTTGGAAGATCTTTGCCGGGCACTTGCCGCTGGAGGCACGTGATGGAAGTCTATGTTGGGAATGGAATGCCTGGGAGAGATCAGGACATGCTGCAGCTGAGCGCGCCTGTGCTGCTGGTGCAATAGAGGCCTTCAGTTTAGAGTGGTACATCGTGGTAGTACATCACGTTTTAGATGTTATCAGGCATCGGTTGGCCTGCTGCGTTCACGCCCAGGCTCGCCGGTTTTTGCATTTCAGCTCTCAGGTCCTATGACCTCGCACACGGCCAATTGGAAGCTATGTTTTATCTTTCAGGATAATTGTTCTCACGTGTTTCCCCCTAGTTCACGATCCATTTACAAGAGGCAGATGCAAGGCTTTCGCGGGACCAGAAGAAGTGCCAGAAGAACACCGTTGTTCAGGTGAAGACCTGCTATTTCGCGCAGTGGAGGCCTTGTGGTACATGGTCGATGACTGCGAGAGTCTTGTCCTGAGATTTGTCCGTCACTAAGCACGATTAGTACAGAATCACAAGCTGGTCTGAGGTTGCAAAAGGATTATGGACATGAACGGGCACCAACTTCTGTGCAAACTGGCTCGAGAACACGGTCAGCAGAATCCTAACGCAGCGGGATCCATTTTCCGACTGTTGGCTGAGACTTTTCGGCAAACTTCTTGATATGTCTCCTTGCAAAAGGCATGGTCTTGACCGGGTCATGGTAAAGCTGAGGAGACGCTATATGCTGAGCCGAGGCAGCCATTTTTTCGTTTGCTCAGAGGAGAGGACTCAATGGCTGAGAGCCAAGGTCATCTCAGGTATGGGGACAGGATCTAGATGCTGACCTTCTTGCCGCGGCAGTGAAGTGGGCCATTCAGGAGGCAGGTAGCAGCATCAGCCTCGGCAAAGCCTGTGGCCTATAGGAGTCGGGCCTTCGTGGGACATCCTCTGTGTGAGGTGATCCAAATAGTTCCGCAACTCTAGGATTTGTGTGTGCCATGGCCTCAGACCAAGAACTTGCGCCTGCCGAGCATGCCTGGCATGTATACTGCAGGATGTGGCCGCGTTGTGGCTGCAGCGCGCCCCCAACAAGGAGGCCCTCAGAGGTTCGGGGGTTAAGCCTGAGCCCCTGAATTCAAGCAGCCGCGCTCAAGGCCGTCAAGCCTTTGATAACCATCGTGCCGCCATTGCTAAAGATGATGGCTTTCCGCTTGGATGATGTTGCTGGGTCGCAAGCAGGGTCACGCAATTTCTTCACATGAGCGTGCCAAGCTGAGGCCTTGCTGCTTCAGCACGGGTTCCGTTTTCTATGGGCCTTTGCTCAGCAGTCTACAGAGTGGCCCGAGGCAAACGCAAAGACAGCTGAGAAAACTATGCGTCCTGGCAAGTTGCCCTACGTTCTTTTGCCAGGCTCTCCGAAAACCGGCACAGGATGCCCTTGAGCAGCTGCGCGTGTTGGTGGGGTCCAGGTGCTGGCTACGTCGATTACAGTGTTTACTTGCTTTGATCGAATTGACCAGTCAGCCTTTCCTTGCAAGGCCAGCGATTGCACCAAATGCCATCCATTACAACACAATGGCCATTGAGGTGGGAGGAATGAAGATGCCTGCAGTCTTTCGCAGAGCTTCGCAGTGGCGGCAGGCCATCTCTGGGCTCGCCCCTCACGCAAGAGGGAGCTTAGACAGCATGGACTGAAAGCAGGAGCATGTGATCCGTTTGCTCCTGCATGGGCGGCATGGACTGGGTGACATTGATGCTGTTCCTGTGTTCCGTACTGCGAGGAGCCAGAAGCTCTTGCCGACCTGTGGCGTGGCCGAAGCTGGTAGTGCCCATGCCTTCGCACTGAGAGCTCCTCTTATGTGCGGGGGAACGAGGACGATACCGCTTCCGGCAGGCCAAGAATCCCGCGGTGGAAAAAGTGTTTGAAAGTGTCACGCATCTGGATTCAGCAAACAGATGTCTAAGTGAGGATCTGCTCCCACGAAACTCATCCAAGATAGTGGCATACAGAATCTGAGGGGCCGGCCTGTGAACTATGGGGATTTCACTCCGTCGGCTGCTTACGCTGAGAGTCCGATATTGACAATTCCTTTGCCTCCAGCTGATGGTCAAGGTGCCTGGGAACCAAGACCTTCGAAGGCACCGATGCAGATCTCGGAGTTCATACAAACATAGAGAATTTTTCGGCAAGGAGACCTGCCATCAACTGCTTCAGGCAAGCTTGCCGGAGGCTGAGCTTCAGGATAAACTTGTGCACCGCATGGTGCGCTGGAAAGCTTACAGAGCTTCCAAGGGCGGCGCAGCTCGTGCAGGCGGCGACGCGTTCGCTTTGGCTTTCTTGTTTTGAATTATATTAAAATTAATCTGTTTTGCTCTCGGGTGTGAGGCGGAACGCTTCGAAGTTCACGAGGCATCGCTCCATAGAATAGTATGACGTGAGAATTTGCTGAGTTGCAAGCAGCAGCCACGTGACAGGCTGGCAACAGACAAGACGTCCAGCCTTTATCTCTCTTGCTTTTGGGCTCACAGCTGTCTTCATGTACATAATTAGTGCTATGGGCTGTCACGCTGATTTGTTTGCGCCTCAGTGTGAGCATTCCGCAGGCTCAGGAGAGAGCACTTTTTTGGCAGTGACTCTGCACATGAGGTTGGCCTTCCGCACTCGGACGCGTAGTCTATGAGTGTGCTGGGATCGGTTTCGATCCTACTGGATACCAAGCGAAGTTCACTGTCCAAAAGGTTGGCAGCATTTCATTTGCGAGGCAACCGTTGCAGCGTCAGCTGCTGTTGCATCAGCAGCTTCCGCAGCGACGAATGTGGTGTTGGTCGTGAAGGAGCTGTAATTTGCAGACCAAGCCGCAGACACATGCGCATTTGACTCTAGTGCAGGATCGGGCAGCGCAGGCTTCTGCTGTGGACTAGAAAAACTTGTTCAGCTCTCACTTCCCGTGGGCATGCTTTGAACTAGTTGCACATTTGTGCGAGGTGGCCCCTGCAGCACCAGACGTTGCGCAGTTGGCTGCAGATGCAGGTGGTTCGCCCGCTTGACCCGGTTGCACTGGAAGCCCTGAAAGGCATGAATGTTTAAGAACAAAGTATAGAGATGCTTGCAGAAATTGCCGAAGTTCAACCAGGAGTTGTTGAGGATGTTGCCTGTGCATGCTATGTAAGACATTTTCTGCACCAGAGGGTGCTGTCCTGCCAGGCGGGGCCATTTCAGAGGCTGCACCTGAGCACAGATAATATGGGGCTCGATCGAGCCTGTTTGCAGAGCAGTTTATGATTCTTTGCTAAGTTTGCTGGAGTGAGTAGTGAACAAACATTCATCAACAAGTCATCTGAGGGCCATCGAGTCAAAGGCGCAGCAGGAGATGTCAAGGACCAAGTATCAGGTCAGGGCTTTCGAATTTCATGGAGATGCACGGATGAGGCACTGTGCGATTGGTGCAGGTATGGCTGGCCATACCTCGCTGCAAATGGCGAATGCCATGGAAGGCCTGAGCACGACTTACTCCCAAGCATGTTCAACCCTTTGGCTTCGACTTAGACCTGCTTCATGCCTCTTCCTGCAAGGTGTGCGAGAACAGGTGGCCACTGGACTCGCTAAATCAAGATGTTGTGAAAGGAAATGCGGTCACGCGTAAATCTAGGTTCAACAGAAGCAACGGCTGGATAACCTCGTGGACGAGTTTTCCGGTCTCCTGGAGGTGACGTGTTGATTGCTCCCCGCGCTCTAACTTTTGGTAGCGGCAGTGGCATCGCTTTCATGCTTTGGCATGACATCCGCTTGTCGCAGGGGCTTCTGAAGAAAAAATTGTACAAGCTTCTGAGCATCGTCGTGAACAAGGTTCCAGGTATAGTCAAGTCTGCTTCCTGGCTGATAGCTTCAGCTGCAAACCAAACATGAAGAGCTATCTGCCATCAGAGGTTCTTGCAGATCCCGAGATGCCTATGCGATTGCAAAAAGCACAGGATTCACCAAAATATGTCCTGGCAGAGCATGGCACTAGCTTTGCATGGGAGTTACTCGCTGCAGGATGCGGCCATCGATGCAGTATGGCCAGATGTGCAGCAGGAGAGTGTTGTCAACGGGTAGGTCAGTATGTCTCCTATTGCAGAAGTTCTACAGAAAGTCTACAGGAGATTATGTGGGAGCTGGCGGTGAGACTTGTCAGCGTGACAGAAGTCGTACAGAGGACTTTTTTGGCTTATGCGTGAGCAGGCTTCAGGCGCTTGGTGGGTTTTTGCGCCTACTTGTTAAAAGAGGGACGAAAGACTTGAAAGGTGGTCTCGCCATTTCATGTTGTGTGGAACGGGCGTCGCCACCACGTAGCAACGTGAGAGGTGCAAGAGATTTCCTGCAAGTATCGCAACACAGGTCTGCAGCCTGAGAACGGTAAGCTAATGGCAAGACTTAGGACAATGGATGGCAAGGTTACGCAGGACTTGCCTGAGGCATGGAAGCAACGGCTTTTGTGAGGCAAGTAGTCTTTTTTTTGTTTATGCAGGTCCGTGGCTGCATCTGCTGCGCATTTCTCAGATATCACCTGTACCCGTTTGACCGAGGCAAGCCTCTGAGAATGTTGTCACGCTTGGAACATGACAGCTTAGATCAAAAGACCGAGCAAACTGTTTGCTGAACATGCAGGATTTTGGGGGCGGTTCCGTGATCCCGTTTGGAATCTCAGCAGCACTTGATGAAAGTCTGGCACCATTTTCCTTGTAATGCTCGTGAGGATACTCTTTACGTTGATTGGCCTCCTTCCCGTATATGGTATCAGCCCCGGGGTGTCTCAGCCGCAGATCTTGAAACTGGTGATTCCGAATTCCAGTGGGTCTTGCCCTGGCTCAGATCTTTTGTGTCATATTCCTCGTCATTGACAAAACAGATGAGTTCCAGCTGGTGTCGTTTATCCTGGAATTCAAGGCTGCTTCATGTGGGGCAAGTCATCAAGCCAGGGTTTTGCAAAGTGCGCCTGGGAGGGCTTTCAGTACCTCACGCAGGGTGTCATTCGAAGCTTGATGGGTGCCAACCTCAGTGGCATGCAGGTTCTGCACTTTCATCCCGAATTCCAGTCAGGCTACTTCATGTACTTGAACTGCATCACCGCACCAGGGCAAGCAGAGGATAATTGCGCAACAAATGGCCCTGGATCTGTCGCACCAACCGCCCTGGTTCTGGCGCCCATCTCAGAACTGGAATGTTTCTGTTATGAAATGGCTTTCTGCCTGACCTGAGCAACTCCAGGTGGGATATGTGCTTCAGATCGTTCTTGTTTGGAACTTGCCAGCACGTTCGACTATTTTGATGTGAGGAAGAAGTTGGTTTTATTTTCTGTCCACAACGGTCCACATGCCGGGCTCAGGATAGCATTCGTACTTTTGCCCTTCTCTTCCAAAAAGGGGCGATCAGCATTGACGGGTCATCTGGTGCCTCGCCAAAGTCATCAGAGCCCGCAGAGCTGCAAGATAACCGGCTCACAAGCATTTCGCCAAGGATCAATCCCCCGATTCTGCTAATATGCGAGGCGGCTACATTCGCTTCTGGGTTTTTGTTCGGCTGGGGTCGTGTGACCTGGTGTTGTTAAGACAGATGCATTAGATTTTTGCGATGAACCAAGTTTATCTTCTCGGGTATGACCTCCTGACCTTCATTGTGTGCAGTGGCACGTTGATTTACGTGCTGCAGCTCCGAGAGTGGCTTTTGGATGATTGGATGGTCAAGCATGCAGCCTGGTTCCACTTAGAACTGGAGACCTGGACTCTAGCGTCGTGTGCAGTGAATCCTTGGTTTGAGGAACTACAACTTTGGGATGCAATTTTTGGGAACATCTTTGCTGGTTGCGTTTTTTTTTGGCTTCCTGCAGTGCGTCTAGACGTCAGGAGGAGCTGTGTTGTGCTCCTTTCAGGAAGTCTTGAGTTTTTAAGGCGCCTCAACTTCACTTACTGTCGACATGAGTTGGGGTGGTGGATCACTTGCTCACAGAGCGCTGGGTCCTGGCCATCCTCGCAAAAGCTTCAAAAAGTGGGTTATCACCTCCTGTCCTCTGCTGGGCAATAGTTGCAGCAGGGGAATCATGCACCACCTTCATCCGTTTAACACACCAAACCCTCGCATCTAGTGCGGCTATGGCAGCTTAGTCTGGAGCATTAGACTGCGGTGTCGTGAATCTGGAGACCAGATAGAAAAGTGTTACATCCCAGCCAGAAAGACAGGGGTCTGAGGACCTCGTGCTTCTTGTGCCGTGTCAACGCGAATCCCTGCAAAGTGCCATAGTTCCCTTCAGTGTTTTATCTTGATGGCAGGGAGGCAAATCCATGATAGCACGCTGCAAGTATTGAAGAACCATGAAGCGAAGGACCATCACATGAGATCCAGTGCACCTGCACATGCCCAAGGCATTCTTTGCCGTCCAGATGGTGCATGGATACTTGTCTCTGCCCTTCTTTTTCTTCACAATTCCGCTGTTGAGGACTTTCTTTGCCCGTTTAGACAGGCAGACTCAGAACAACAGATAGGCAGGCTTTTTTGCTGGATTGTGCACTGCGGTGGCAGGAACATCTTGACCCATACAGCACTCTGGCCTTGTGTTCAGTGAGACTTTTCCGTGTTGCCCAATAGGACTGCTAAGCAGGCTTGCGTTGTTTGAAAGCTTTCGCTGTTGCTGGAACAGAGGCGCCGACAGGCTACGATAGGTCTGGCCGCTGCAGGCGGTACGATGGTGTCACAAGGCAATTGATCGCATGTGAGCAGAAGCCATTTGCAAGTTTGATTTGGCATATCAGGCCGCCGAAGCCGGCAGCAGAGCGCGGCACTTCTTTGCCGCGGGTACTTGAAAAGGCTGAGGCCAGCGGAGCTGCAGCTTTTCAATGCGAGAGGGATGCAAGAGCGTGGCAAGGCATCCAGGATTCTGGAGAACTTGAAGCGCCTGCTGGCCGGCCTTCATGTCCGTGATTTGGATACGGACCCTGGTCCAGAAGCCAGAGAAGCTAGCAGCCCCTAGCCGAGCGAATAGGTGCAGCCGTTTGAGGCTGAGTCTATTGTTGTGTTGGAGAGGTCACGCTAGACCTCTGACCGTTGAGCTGCTGACGGGTCAACATGGCCATCTCAGCAGCGAATCTGTGGTTCACTCCAGTGATGCTGCATGAACATCGTCAGCAGATGTGGAGCTGCCAGCGCAAACGAAAAATGAGAGGAATGTCATTTTCGCCTCCGACGATGTTCGACAGCACATGACAGGTTCACCTCCAGCGCGAAGTGCTTCAGAGCGACTGGTGCACGAGCTGAAGGCTGGACACTGATCACTCCCAAGGCTGTCTTGCGATGTCATGTCAGGTTTTTCCGAACCACAACACCTACAGCTGCCTGGCCTGAATTGGATGAAGTAAGAACATGTGGAGATGCTCAGTTGCACTTTCACTTTTTGCCGCGCAGACGGTAGCTGGCTTGATGGCCGGTGCCATGGTGATGGCCTGTACACTTGGAGTGCTCGGTGCCCCAGAGCGAGCGAGAATTTCCACGAATCAACCGAGAGCTCTACAAAACTATAGGACGGCACTGAGTATGCTGGCGAGTTCCGTGAAGGATTGATGTGGGGTCAAGGTGAAAAGCGCTTGCCCCAGCTGTTGCTGCCTTTGTTGCCATTTGGAGATGTGAATGACTTTGAAAAGGCGGTGGCCAAGTGGAAGACGATACTGCGGAGAATGGGTGGGCCTCGTGGGGCCATCTTATCATTTTGGTCTCCCATTGCATCCTGTAAGGCACACGACATGATGTGGGGAAATGGCGAAATGTCCAGACCTCAGCGACAGCTCTTTATGCAGTGTGATCTAAGCTAGTACTTACGGTGCACCCAGAAGAACCCTTTTTTATACTGTTACGCTTTCTTTTTGTTGTACTGTCCACAATGGAGCCTGGGCAAGCCAGCAAGTGAGTGAACCCACGTTCCCCGCCTCAGCAGCAAAACAATACAGCAAAAGCTGACTGTGTTTACTTATGAAAAACTAGCGGTGTGAAGCCACTCGCATTTGCAAAACATGATGCTGAGCTTGCACTTAGAATGGTTCATGATGTTCATGGCTTGCAAATTGGGATTGCGGTCTAGGGGCTATGGTGATACTCGCCATGGTACTTGGTACTGTCTTGCTTTGCTTTTCAAGTAAGAGCAATCTTCTCCGCGGCAGCCGCAGTAGGTATGGCAAGGGCACTGCGCAGAAAGCATTGTAATTGTGGGTTACCAGTTGCGGCTCGAATAAACATGAAGATGAACATCGGTGCACATCAAACTAATTCTAGTTTTGATGGCGGACGAACTATGGTGTGAGGCCCTCTTAGCATTTGTAAGATCGTTTTCAGCAACCTTTGAAGCCATGAGTTGATGAGGCCTTCAGCCTCATCCTCCGCTACCACTGAAGAGTTTTAGAAGGAAGGAATTTGACGCAGAACACACAGAAAACATTCCCAACAAAAGCCCTCCATATCCTCCGGGGCCACAATGTCAGGACGCGCTATGCCACGCTGCAATCTCAAGCCACACAGCGAGAGTGGTTTGATCGAGTTCCACACGAGAGCTTCGTTCGGGACGCAATTGCAACCTAAAATTCAAGGATGCCATGCCAAAGCGCGATCTCGACATCAAATGTGAGGACGCTCTGTGTGAGAGCATAACCAAAAAGAGTAAGCATTTCAAAGTGGTGGGTTTTATTTGTCATCGGGGCAGCTGGGTGGGGCGGGGCAGGGGTAGTGGGGCATGTTGACTTTCTTGCGGTTGGGGCTGCTGGGGTGGATTTGGCTGTTGGGACGGGGTCGTGTTTTTTGGATATTGGGGCCCCCGCAGCCGCCCGATAACCAACCAGCATGCCCAGCAACATCACTTTGCAAGGCTGCACCTCTGAACCACCGCCCTGCTCTGTTTGAAAACCAGTGGAGTCCTGCAGAATCTTTCCAAAACGTGGAAAAAAAGCGGAAGCAGGCCGGGGCAGAGGGCATGGGTTGAGGGGGATGGGCGGGAAGCGTGTGGGCAATTTTTTGCTGTTGGGCGGGGGGGAGGGCAACATCTCCAACAGCAAAACAAAGAACGACCGGGCCTCAACAGCAAAAGCTAGATGACTTGTACTGTGTGCAGATCAAAGCTGAAGGACCCCATGAGCTGCAATTGATTTCTGGCTTTTTTGGGCTCAGAAGCCACGGCAGCACAAAGGGTGAGAGAAGCTTGCCATGGAAGACGAAGTTGCAGAGGACCGCTGGGAGGAGAGCAAAGCTCAAGAGGCGGTTGAGCAGTCCGAGTTTTCAGTCCCACAGAGCATCTACCTCTCCTGGATCAGGCCTCGTGTTGTGAATCAGCCAGTTTATCTTAGAAGTCTGCGCAGCTTGAACTAAGTAAGGCAAGAGCTCGACGATGAGCAGGCGTGCATGGAGCTTCCGTTTATGATCGTGTGCCTTGGCCGCGGCAACCACACGGTTTCTGCAGCACTACTACTTGAAAGATCTTGAAAGCTAAAGCCAACTCTTTTGCCCAAACTTTCATGGTCCTCCGAAATTGTGCACGCGAGACAACTCTGCAAGACCAAGGGTGTTGATCTCTTTCACCCTGATGGCTGCCTCCTGGCCAAAGTTTGGTAGCATGTGCATTGCACAGGAACCAGCATGAATAGTTTCTACTTGATGAGACTCCTCCAGGTCCTGGCGCTGAGCCAGCATGTGGTTCTCTCTGTAGAGCAAGCGATCGAGCAGGATATCATGCAAAATGCAAACTTTGATGCTCAGCTGCAGACAGCACAGGGAAGGTGATCTGTGTCTGCAACTCTTTCTTCGGGCGATGCGTGCCACACGTGAGGCTTTCAACGAATATATGGGCCACCTGCATGCACAAGCATGGTTCATTCATTTCAGAATGTGCAACTGTGATTCGTTCGTTCTGGGACCACCACCGTTTTCCTGCCCAGGCCACAAGACGCTCGTGGATGTGCACTCGTTTGGAGATTTTTGGTCCTGGCTTCGTCTGGGTTTCGTTCCCCTGGTGCTACCTGGGGCTTGGGCCCACTCCGAGCGCCACATTCCCGATGTCCCATGGTGCAAAGTGCATTTTGCAAAGATGGGACCTTGAGGGTCTGGTATCTGAGGTTGCAGCTGCTTTCGATCTCAACTTAGCCGATGCAGGGCAATCGCCCCGTGAATGGAATTTCCAAAACAGGCAGCCAGCTTGTGATGACAGAGGCTTTGTTGGAACCTTGCAGACATCACACCATCATGCCAGGTACCGGTCCCCTGTTTCTGGTGACTACTTGCCCCTTGATGGCACATCGCAGAGAGCAGGCTGTGGCCAGACCTTTCCTTGACGTCCAAGCGCATTCAAGGCACTACAACCGGATCGTTGGGGGCATCCGCTTTCGCCAGCAGGTGGCGCCCGACGGGCCATGTCGGTTCCCTGGCTCTGCTTCTCAGGAGCTCTTCAATCGTTGGTATGGGATCCTCGGCAAAATTTTGGCGTTCGGTTTTGTGATGTCTTCGAGTTTCTCATTGCCTGCCTGGAGATCCCTGACGCCCAGGAAGCCTTGCGTACCAGCCTATGAGGCACCTGCATGGATTTTAGCTCAGTTCCGCATTTGCTGCCTGGTCTTCGCTTCAAGTTTGCAGGAGTTGGCCTTCGAGCCTGATACCTCCAACGGTGAGAACTTCATTCGGGCAGAGCGCCAGGAGTGGATTCTGACCGAAGATGACCACGCGCAAATCGTCCAGCAACTGGTTGCATCTCGGTGGAACTGAGGGAGCGGGAAATCCAATGCTGGACAAAACGAGCATGTTTTGAATTGTTCTCGAAGTGCCAAGTCAAAAAGCGCCCTGCGCTGCTAGAAGCAGCCCGGCCGCTGCGTGTTGTGGAGACCTTTTTGGAAACATCCAGTTGGCACAGCATGAGCTTGACTTAAGATGCGTCAGGACATGGAAGATGGCTGCGCTAATGCCTCCAGCGGCTGCTCCTGTAATTGGTGTCGAACACAAACACCTCCCTCTCCCTGGCTGACCGAGAGGACGCAAAGAATTGAGGCAGGCATGAGCCGAAAAGAACGTTTTTTTGTTGAATGAGTTCTTGTTCTTGGTTGCTTACGTGGAGCCTCCGTGCAGCTGCACCTCCGGCGTGGATCATGCAAAGATGCATTGGGGTGCGCTAGGTGCTTTCAGCACCTTTGCTCCTTGTGCAGCTAGCTGAAGGAGTCTGTTGCTAGCTCGATTGTGTAGCTTGGCAAAAGCGGCATGGAGAACGGGAGAGGCAGTAGTAGTGAGTTCGCAGGTGGCGATGGCATCGTTCAACGCAGAGTATGGCCTGCTCACTTTAACGGGAGTGAACATTTGGATTTCACGAGGAGGTCGTATGCGAAAGCGTGTGGAACTCATGTCGCTTTGGATCAATTTCTCGCAGCCGACGGCTGAGAACATGCCTGCGATTGTTTTTGCCGGAATCTGGTTGCTATGCCTGGTATACATCTTTTTAAATGAGCTGGTGGAGATTTCGTATGCGATTCGGAATGCTGAAGCCAGATGGCATCGTGCTCTGCTGGAGGATTACATTGGGCTTTGGAATGTTGTCGCGTGGCTGAAGCATCATGACACAGGTGTAATAGGAGCATGGGTTGTAACAATCAACGAGCAAATAGAGTCCTCGCATCCAAGCAGTTTTGTTGCCGCAGATGCGTTTTGCGCTGGTTGAGCTGAGGTTGACTGGCTGTCGATAGCAGTGGCTATTGTCGTGCTCGTATATTGGTTTGGCCTTGCCTCGGAAGTGTCAAAACTGCAACTGCAGCTGGGGCACCTGCAAAACCAGGAGCTATCCCAAGGCGTACTCGAGCGAGTCATGCGTGTCGGGCATGTGGCTGCTTTCTACGAAGCAGTCGAAGCAGTTAGTACAGAAGAGAAGAGGTTCCGCTTGATTCTGTGCTTCTATCCGATGCTCCTCCTGCTGCGCCTTTTCAAGTCCTTCGCAGCTCAGCCCCGCCTGGCAGTAGTCACAGATACAATTAAACTGGCATCACAAGACCTTTTGCACTTTGGTATCTCGGCATGCAAATAGTGCCATGTTGATGCTACAAAATGAGAGCTTTCCATGTTTCAAGACAAGGGGCTGGATCTTGCCCCTTTTTTGATGAATTCCTTTGTAATTTGCAACTGCGTCACGCGCAGCGTGCTGCCATTACAGGTAATGCCCTTCATCCTACACCATCACAACATGATATCACAATTTCATGCTGCATCATTCATGGATCATCAAGTACATATACTCTCGTTTTCCTGCAGCTGACATGCTCTACCGTGAATTGCCAGGCCCAAGTGAGGCTGACTAGAAGGGTTTCAATAAAACACGAGCGCAGCTGCGGGTTGCCTTCTGAACGCCTGTCGCCGCAGCGTAAGGTATTGTCTCCGTGGCTGTTCTGGCATGTTTGTGCTTGAATGCCGTGCTTCTATTTGGGCGAGATGAGGAAGCGTTTGGAAACTTGTTTCGGTCCTTGCATACTGCTTTTCGAATGATGTTTGGGGATTGGGACTGGATGCCCATGGAGCGGGTCAGCCGAACTGGAGCATATTTGTGGTTTACCATGTTCATGGTGCTCGTAGTCATAATCCTTCTTAACATGTTGCTGGCCATAATCCTGGACAATTACATGGATGTGAAGCGGGTTTCCGCAAGCGCAGACTCGCTGGGAGCCCAAATACAAGAAATGTACCGACGACGAAAGATGCTGAAGCGCAAAGAACGTGTGCGCCTCAACGACATTTGGGACAGCTTTGTGGCAGAGGCCAGGGGTCGGCCAAAAATTGCGCTGGCAAGAGACCGCCAAGTTACGGCCGAAATGCTGCAGCAGATTGTGCCAGGCATTCCCCTGTCGCAAGCATCGCGCACTTTGCAAAATTCTTGGTTGGCGCACCTGAAGGCAACCACAGCTCCCTTCGAGCTCAAGCACTCGTCACGTCACTTGTCAATGTTTGAGGTGGAGAGCAGGAAGGTACGCAACGGTCTGTTCTTTCTTTTTGACCGTTTGGACTTCTATGACACGCGGCATGATGGCGAGGGTGCGGAGAAGGAAAGAGAGAGAGCAGATGGCACTAGTTCGCAGCCAAACAGTCCAGTCCCCAGATCCCCAAGCTCGCCACGTTCGCCTAAGATGAGATCCCCGGGATCTGGCCGGACATCAGGACGTTCGGCACGCTCAGCACGTGGGGACTCAGCTGCTGGTCCATCTGATATGGAGCAGGAAATCAACATGCAAATGCAGCGTTTGAGCGTGGAAGCGGCGGAGAAGTTGGCGACAGTGTTGAGCAGCGTGGACAAAACCCAGGGTCGGATTGAAGAGAAGCAGGCAGCAATCCAGTCAAGCATGCGCGACATGCTTCAGGTCCTTTTGCAGCAGCAGTCGCTTGCAAGCCAAATTTCGCGACGTTTGGAGGGATTTGGCCATGAGAAGAAGTCCTTCCTCGGCCTTTTCAACTTACCAGAGCGGTAGGTGGTAGGCTGTTTGGAGATGTTTGGAGCCTGTGGCTCGATGTACATACAGAATGCCTCGGACGCTTCCCTTCCCTGAAGCAAGGCCCGGAAGCCTAACACAGGCCTCAGGTGCCAGCGGCGTGGGAAAATTGCCAACACATGGGTAAGGTAACAGAAGGTAACCATTTCCAGCAGGTGTGTAGCCTCGTCTCAAACACGCTTTATTTTTGTCCAGCTTTTTGGAAAGCAGAAGGCTTCAGGCCTTGACTTAACTTTATCGAGTCCTTGAACCCCGACGGCTGCGCATCATGTTTCAATGTTTCAGTCAGGCATGGCCAGCGTCGCGTAAGTCTTGTTTTCCCTTTGAACCTTTTGTGCGTTGGAATTTTCGTCACATTTCATGTGCTCGGAGGGAGTCGAGCAGTCTAAAACAGACCTGACTACACTTCTTGAGACCACCCCTTCATTCCGCACTGAAAGCTTCTCTGTTTCAGTGCCTCAAAACAGGTTCACCCACGCAGGGCAAGTTATGGTCGCACTCACTTGGGTCTGGGTCGCTTTGCAGAAAGTCGCTGGTAACCCCGTGAAGACGGAGCCTCGCACTATGCAGTGAATTTCTTCTAGGTTTCATACGGCTAAAATGCTTCAACTGCTTTCCTCCCAAGATACTCCAAGCAAACCGAGCCCATGAGACAAGAACTGCCAACCAAAACCAAATCACAACACCCTCGAGACTCAATGGACTTCACTGCTAGAAGGCATCTCCTGACGACTGTTTGCAACAACTATTGTTGAAGCTTTTGCAGGCTTGCTGCAGGTTTTGTAATTCGTGTTTCCTCGCTTCTTGGCCGTTCTGTATTGCTAATGTTTGGACGACTTTGTTGGCAAGACATTGTTGGCGACTTGCCTTGTTTGTTCATGGTTTGACGGAAAATCAGAGCTTGTAGAAGCTGAGCTGGGGAATGTGACACGCTAACTGAAGACTACGTAATCCAGCGTAGTATATTCACATCTTGTGTTTTGGAGTGAACCTTGCCACCTTGAAGGCAAAGAACAAAGAACAACAGAGCTAATGTAAGTTGTGCAGCATTGGTACGAGGACATGGCCTTCCGGTGAGAAGTACACCGGCCAGCAGGGTGCCAAGCTGCTTGCAGACTTGGAGTGTCTTAGCTCTTGGCATTGGCATCATGAGGTTCTTCAAGGGCAGCTTCCATGGCAGAGGGACTCGATCATGGCCTAATGGGGACAGCTGCATGGCTGTGATCAGTGATGTGGGGTTCCTATGGTGGTTCGGTTTGTTCTGTGAGGTTACACTGGTGAGTTCAAGCACGGAGAGCAGGAGGGCGCCGGGCACCAGGGCTTTCGCTCTAGTTGCCATGCTGCAGCAGCTCAGCTGAGGAAGGCAAGTTTGAAAGCGCTGCAGAAGGCAAGACGGAATCTGCCAGGTGTTTAACCTTCTCAGAAACGCATCTGGAATATGCCGTCTGGAAGACGCTAGATATGCAGCCTGCAACTTGAAGCTGGTAAGGACGTGTGTGCGACGCATCTCCCGCGCAGATATCCTGCGCAAAACAGCAGCGCAGGTTGGTTTTACATTGGCAGGTGGATCCATGGTCAAATGAGCGGAGCTCAGCTTTTTCTGCAGCCCCGGCACTGACTAGAATGCCGCACCTTGAATGTACAAGGTGCGGGCATGGGGAGAAGACTTTTCCAGATGGAGTAGTTTATGCACCGGCCCAATGGCAACACGCGGTTGTTGACAGCAAGCAGCTGCAGCCTGAGGTAGGGGAATGGAAGCGAGGGAGCAGGCATGGAACTGGATGTAGAAGCCTCGGCTGTACAGATGCACCATCCGCAGCGGAAGTACATTCGTGAAATCATGGGCAGAGTCCCAAGGTCTGACATGGCCAAGCGGTGCTCAGTATGAAGGGCAGCCAGCAGCTCAAGCAGAAATTTTGCCATCGTGCCTTTCACAAAACTTTCACCATTCCCATGATGGCAACATAGCTGAAGGTTTCTCGACGACTGCATCGAAGGCCAGCGGATAAGCCCTGTGGTTGGCTGTAACAGTCTTCTGGAAGGATATGGCCGAAAATCCTTCCCTGATGGCAGCTGGTGTGCAACCCTTGCTACCTTGATCTGAGACACCTTTCAGATTGCCGCTGGAGCATGCCAGGAGGGCGAGTTCAAGGATGGTGAACTGGAAGGCGGGTGTCCTCCGCACTCTTTGAATTCGGCCATGCTGCCATGGCCTAGGTCACGGCACGTTCCACTGGCCTGATTCCACAGAGTTCGAGGGCCTGTGGCACAAGTCAGAAGTAGTTGGGTGCGTGCCTCAAAAGGAGGTGAGCTCTTTATGGCTTGTGTTAAACAAGTTTTGCTGCGAGGCCTGGCATTCACCGCTTCCCTGCCAGCTTTCCGAGATGCTGCGATTCGTGGTGCACAGGGGTACAGGTCAACTTCTTCCTTCCTTAGGATGGCACCTCTGTCGCTGGCAACTTCGAAGACTGTGGAGCTCCCTGGCTTCACTACGGTTTCATACTGGTGGGCACGTGACGCTTGATGGTACCTTTGCAGCTTCAGGCAAGTGGCGAAGGAACCAAGACTTGGGCAAAAGGTTGCAGAGACCTTACATGCAAGGAAGGGTGGTTGTCTAGCATGTGGCGGCTCAGCGTGCAGAAGCAACAGAGGCAGTTATGCTGGCCGGTTGTTGCATAATCAGCGCTCAGCTCGGTTGATACCTCTGGGGGTTGGGCAGTGTTAGTTTTTTTCTCGCAGGATACACCACTATGGTGTCTTACGATGGTCCGACGGGCGCTGCTATGCCGGGTCCTTGTCGTTGTTCTATCCCAAGTGCTTGCCAGAGGTCAACTTCAATCCTTCTTGTTATTTGACTGCCGACCCATCCGGACCAATGCCATGAAAGCTACGGGGTAACGGAGCTAGGCTTGAGCCTTGCTTTGCAGAAGTAGAGGCAGATAAGGTTTCAACAGGAGCGAGCCAGCTATTAGTTCTATAGCTGTGTCACAGGAGACGTTGGAGAAGGGGGGGTGGTCGGACAATTGACACATACTTTATTGCATGTTGAGTTTTGCAGGTTTGGGTGCATGCACATCATTCCTAAGAGTTGCGGCTGTGATTTTTGGTCAAGCTGGACTGAACAAAATTGGCAGCAGTTGGATAGTTTGACCCACACCCACCCTCGTTCGCAGTCTCACACGTGCTGGGAGCACCTAAAACTTTAAGATGTGCGTGACTTTTTCATCTTGGTGGCTTGCGGCTTGCGGCTGTTGAAGACCATGTTTCACCCAGAAATGCTGTAGGCAAGGGGCGCCAGCAGAAGCTGCAGATCTTGGTAGTAGTTTTGACGTCCAGCGCAAGCACCGTGACAAGAATGCAACGGAACTACTCGACTCGCTTTGATGTTTGTTGTTGGCCTGTTGGGTCTTTACGTCTGTGCAAATTAGGTGCCATGAGGTTGCTGACTGCTTCAACCTGAAAGCTTATGAAAGAACTATGCGAGGAATGAGGATGAGATTGAAAGAAAAAGTGTGAAGGAAGAGCTTGAAATTTCGAGGTGGGATGTTAGTAGAGAGGTGCGGAATGATGGAGAGGTAAAGCGCTTGTGTGAAAAAGTCGCAGTAGCAAAGAGGAATGAAGTTCTTAACTCCAAGAAACAAGGAGGAACACAATCAAAGGAAAGATTCTTCAAGAACCATGAAATGATTGCAGAGGCTGCCGGGAAAGTATATTGTTTGCATTGGAAGCGAGGGCAAGATTTCTTCCTCAGCTATGGGGCACACTGCAGTTGAAACAGGGCATTTGTGGTGGGCTTTCATAAAACAAATTGACCTAATTGTAGCTAAAGGTAGGGTCAGCGTGACTTGAGCGGCAAACCAAGGCTGAAAGCTTCTCGGTTCGTATAGAAGCAGAAGGGGGTTAGCGAAAGGATGAGGGAGGCTTGATGCAGTCTGCAAGCATAATGTCATAATGTAAGTCGTGCCATGACCATCAAGGGCTAGTGACAGCCACCAAGCATGATGTTATTCGTATCGCGACCATGCAAGAAGGACGAGAGGGGAGCGTGCTGGTCACCACGCAAGGGTGAGGGAGGGGCAGTCCGGGGCAGTTTAATGCAAGCACCACAGGCGATGATGTGATTCATGCTGTCACCATGGCAGAAAGTGATTTGCACTGCCGGAGGACGGAGATTTGATACCCTACCTGCCATTTTCATGCAGTGGTAGTGGTCACGACAAGGAGGAGGAAGGCCTGATGCAACCACGACCAGCATGATGTTATTCATTTCCCAAGCATGTAAGGCTTGTGAGCACTGTAGGAGGGGTGAGGTCTGCCGCAGCATCAAGCATGATGGCATCAGTGACGAAGTCCGAACAAAAGATGATGCGATGAGGGCTCTACAAAAAAGTGCGCTTCAGTTTAAGAGATGTCTTCCTTTATCGGCGCCTTGGGCCACAAACGGTAGCTGAAATTCCAACAGACGTCTTGCAAGCACCAAGCGAAGGGGCATTTATGAGGAAGCGGCACAGAAGATTGAATGTAGCAAAGCTGGGGATCCAAGCTCAAAAGTCCAAAAGAGCGGCAACCTGCAGTTAGATGTTTACGACCACTGAATTTGCACAACGTTCGAAACGCCCTTTGCGTAGCATGGAAGACGTGCCCGTTGAGCTCGGCCTTGAGGCAGTCATGAATCATGAACATGTCTCCAAGCTGCCTGGAAGCCCATGCGACGCATGCTTTGGACGCAAAAATCAACCTTCAGGACAGCGTCCAGGAGAATCCTGGCAGGAATGCGATGAATGCAAACTCATGGGGTGGCAAGTCGCTCTTCCTCAATTTTTCGAGTGAGAAGGCCATCAGGCTGAATGTGAGGCACGAGAGGCTACTTGCAACGTTCAGGACAAGCCCCATCACAATGGGGACATGTGGGCAATCCCATGCGGTTGCAAGCCGTTCCGCGTCAAAGATTTGATTGACAAGGAAAATTCTCATGATGTGATGTGAAAATGCAGGACACCATCAACAGCAGCGTTTAGAGCAGGTTCCGCTACAGCACTGGCGTGCTTGTGATCCTGTACGCTGGCGAGCCACTCCGCCAAACTGTTGACTGACAATTCCATGGAGCTTAGGATGCTAGTGGCAACTTTCAGCGCAAAATCCAGGTGAGCGCCATTTCAGTGTGTATTTGCTTTCTGACGACGGGCAATTTCCGCTAGCATCCCCCCGGTGACGGATAACATGCAGCAGTGCCGGGTGACCTATAGGAGATCAACGTTGACGGCATTCCCTGCATGAGTTGTTGTTGGTCAAACTTTGGCGATCGTCGGAATACCGCAGCGGTTTTAGTGTCTCATTCGGCGATTGCCTTGCATGGGCACGGCTTTGAATCTGCAGGGTTGTTTCTGTGTCTTGTCCTTCCTTCTTTTTTCGGTTCGTCGGCCACTTTCATGCAAATCTGCGCGCCCGTTTTGCTGACTTCCCTGTACCCGCCAGCCAGGTTGCGTCGTAGCCCACGTAAGTGTATACTTACAGTTGAGCATAGGCATTGCGTCAGACTGGACTCCGCACGCTCAGGCACAGGTTTTGGTAACGTTAAACCCCAACAACGGAAATCAAAAGCAGGAAATGGACACTGGATTTGTCCCGAAATCGTGGCCTCCCTTCTACCTCCAAATATAATGTACTCCGTAAGAAGCCAGAAAGGGACCCGTTTTTCTGAATATCTCCATTATCTCCATGTGATTGAGCAGCCTGGGCAACGATTTGTTTCCGCCCGGTGGGGCCTGGCAAAATCCAAGCAAAACCTACCTACCACCTCAGCTTACCCTCCGGCAAACTGCGAAGCAGTAGGAAGACAGGCATGCTCGTTCTTGCTCCGAAAGCGTTCGTTGGACACTCAGACTCAAAAAAAGATGCTAGTCAGGTATAGGACCTGCTTGCTACGACCAAGCTCAAGGAAATCTGCACCAAGAGGTAGTAACGGCTGGGCGCCCGAGTTGGGACCCAGCAGGCTCAAAGAAACATCCACAAACGCTGCGCGGAACGGCTATGATACAAGAAGGCATTCGTTTGAGTTGCTCTCGCCGCCACGGCTGTTTACTGTGTAGCCCCCCGGACAAGCAGCGAGCACAGTTGCGCATCATCCTGATGTTATACCCTGTTACGAGAGCTTTTTGCCGAGATAGCAGCAGCAGCAGTGGCCGCGGAAGCCGCATACATCGCAGTGCAAGACTGGGCTCCAGAGCCCCAGAAGTCAGCAACTGATACTCAAATAACCCTCAATGCGATTACAATTGTGTTGCTGAAAGTTACGAAGGTAGCGTTCAAGGCTTGTAACAAAACATTTTACAATGCAAATGGAACGCAGATTTCCAGACGCTTAGAACTTAGAACCATATGTCCAAACCGCATGTCATATGATTTAGGCAAGTGGCAGGTGTTATCAACAGACTAGTAGGTCTGCAAGAAAGCATTACGGAAGCCTGGAGAACCTACCGCAACTCGTGCACCCGTCCATCGTACACTGTACTGCAACATCCTTTACATCTAAAACCTATCATGAGAAGCATGTTGACAGGTTTAGACCCTCGAATCACTAAAACTGCGAATGTGACATTCGGAGTGCTGGAGAAAAACAAAACTCAGTAGTCTGAAGGCAGCTCTGATTCATCACAACGTGTATGGGGCAAGGTTTGCCCAATCCAACAAAAGGTTTGATGACAGCCGTTGCATAATTATCCACTGACAGAGTTTTAGGGTAAACGGGATTTTTTTGTTCAGACTGATGCATTTACCATAGAATCCACAAGGCTACAAGGTTGAACGCAAAAGTGAAGCTAGAGAGTATCAGAAGCGGCTTGTTAAGGCGAGGAAGCCAATGAACGGGTTTGTAGACCAGCATTTCCCCACACAGATAAGACATCGATGTGTGAGAACGACACGCAAGTGCAAACCAGACCGGCATAATGCTAGCCAACAAGAGAAGCAGAATACAGCAATGGGCAGGGCGAAAGAACAGTAAGACCGAGGTTGGACAAACAATGTTCAAGAACAAAGACAAATTAAAGGACCCTTTACTAACAAAGAAGGGTTGCAGAGCCCTAAGGAAATAGAGTTGTGCAGAAAAAGACAAGATGGTGTTTGCCTAGTTGGGGCAGTGACGCGCCATCATGAACGTGAGGGCGGATGATAAGATTGAAGCCTTTCGCTGGCCTCCTCTGCTAAGCAAACTCATGAGCTGTGAAAGCAGGGAGGTTATGCAAGAAAATCAAAATAGACATGAGAGCGAGATTGTCAAGCTTGGATACCCGTTTGCACCAGGAAACCCAGGAGGCTCAGGAGGCAATGTACCAGAATTTGAAGGTGATTTTGGAGAAGAGCCCTAGGGACAGCTAAGAAACGTTCACAATTTTCCAAAACCCCGGGAGACCAATTTTCGCTTGAAGTTCAGCCATTTAAGCTTGAACGACTCGAAGGGGCACAATTGGGGATGGCCTCAATCATGTTTGGCCTTGCTTGCGGCACATGTTCCGGACGAGGTGGGTCACTTCAAGGATGAAGCTATGCATGGTGTGCGCGGCCAAGCTGCTTGCGGTGTACATGCCAGATTCGTGCCAGAGCCATTGCAGAGCGAGTGAAGCAGCCACAGAGACGTTCATTCTTGTCAAACGAGAACGTATAGCAAGCATTCCCTGCCCACTGGCCCTTGTTCATGTTTCACCTTGGAGAGTCATGGGAGAGTATGCCCTCTAGGTTGGAATGCTGACGTGGAATGATGGCCAGGGCTCCTGTGTGTACAAGGCGCAAGTCAGGGACACCATTGGATGCAGAAGCCTTGAAAGGCTCCTGGAATCTCTTAGCATATGGCAGGGTTACTTTGAGGAGAACTGCTTCCATGGCCATGGCATCGCTCCGAGGATTTCTCAGCCACCACGATCGTGGTTTTTTCTTAGACATGATTTCTGGAAACCTATGCCAGCTGTGTTGTCCAAGCAGTGAAGGCTGTAGGCAATGGGTTGTACAGAAGCAGTTTCTTTCATGCCCCCTCATGTGCCCACACTCATCAGACGCCTGCCCACAGCTAAAAATCCAAGCCTGTCCCAAGCAGCTCTGTCCACCCATCTGCATGGGCTATGCCGCAGACGGCGATTCAGCTGCAGCTAGCTAAAACCTGTGATCATTATAGCAGTTATTCCTGCTATCATTAACCTGTTTTATGAATACGACTAGTTCTACAATGGTTGTTTTGCTACGATTTTCATTATTGGTATTTTTATTCTTATTGCCAGTGCATCGCCAAGGCAAGGCTGCAGAACTTGCTGAGCAGCTTGAGTCAGGCATCATCAGAACTCCAAAGCGAGCAGCTTGCCTCCACAAAGTCTAACGGCTGCATACCCCACCTGCATCTTGTTCTTGAAGCAAATTCCAGCATTTGAATGAAGCTCTCCGCAACCAAGCGCTTCAATTTCTTGCGCAGTCAAGCCGAAGCCAAGCAAGACGTCTTCAGTCTTTGGCTAAACTGTGGATCATCAAACTATGATTCCTTCTCGACTTCTGCATGGCAGGATACACAGTAGATCATCTAAAAACTAAAGCAATGTCCAAGATCTTGCGAACCCTCCGGATTTTGTATTTGTTTCATTTGAACTTGACTGACTGCATGCGATAGCATTGCTGTATATTGCCGTTGGCCGGCCAAGCATTGCTCATTTCTGGTGCGTGTGTGACATAGCCACGCACCTTGCACGATTAGTGGGTTTGGCAGCTGCCAAGGTTCTTCGGCAGCGTCAAGGTGCAACGGGGCATTTTCCGGGAGCTAGAAAACTGGCACCAAGCCGCAAGGAAAGCTCGATGACGTACTGCTGTGGTGGAAGAATGGCAAAGACCAGCACGAAGGCGCCTGGGCTTCAGCATGCTTCAGCACCGCGGTCATGAGATCGGCAAGTCCGGGCTCAAGGCATACCAAGATCTGGAAGAAGCTGAACGAGCACTGGCATCTGCGGCCAACGGGGACTCTCGCTTGACCTGTGCTTCGACGGTTTGTCTGGCATGTCCAAACCTTGGATGTTGCAGGAAAATCTGGATGGTCGGCCTTTGGCGGATGCGGGAATCAGATCCGAAGAAGCTCGGGCGACATTTCCTCAGAGCTGTCCGTGTGCAATGGTTGGCAATCGACGTGCCCTCGGCCCACACTTGCAGGTACTTAGATCCCTTGACAGACAGAGGTGCCGCGGGCAGTTTGTTAAGCAGCTTGTGTGGGGCAAAGAGTCAGCTTTCTGCATATTCAGGCCCTGCAGACGTCCTGGAGACACAAGGCCCCATAGACGTGGAAGAGGTGGAATCTGTACAAAGCAGCTGAGCTAGCATTACATGCATGTTGGTGAAGATTTTTGGCAGCGCCGTGTGGCCGAAGCAAGGTGCAACTACACGAACAGATTTCCCGAGTCCTCCTGGCGAGGCTGTGATGATGCATGAAATGCATGGCAGCTGTCTTGCGGCAGTTTGCCCGAATGTTCAGGGCTCCATGCTGCCTCTCATTCCAGCCGCCTGCCGGCAGGGATAGAATTGCAGCAATTTCTGAGGTGCCAAGCTGTTTTTCATTCAAATGCAAAGCTCGTTCAAATAAGGTGGTGATGCTCCAAGGCAGGTGCAGCAAGGGAGTGGCACATGCAAATTCCCCGAAGCTGAAGGCATCCGGATGCAAGACCGGCATGCTGCGGAAAGCTTCTTGTGACAGCTTACGGCGGCCAAAATGGAAACCCACAGGTTCCCCATGAACTTGCTCAACCTGAGGGCAGTCATTGCAGAGCGATTGGCGTGGTTGACGTGTGTCGCTGCCACATCGGTCCAAATACCACGGCCATAAAAGGGCTTGCTGCAATTCACGAGTGTCCTTAGCTCAAGACCTGAATGCGGCCGGTCCAGCTTCCAGAGCCATCCCCGGTTTCTAATACTTCATCCTTGTATAGGACGTCATCGAGCAATCCCCAGCCCTCCTTGCTTGGCTGCTCATGCTTCAGGCAAATGTTTGTCAGGTATCATCCTACTGACCCCCCCTTTGAGGCTCAGAGTCAGTCAGGACAGACACAGACATGAGACAGACACTCATCAGGCATAAGGCGGTGGTGATAAGTAGAGCCAGCTTTGACAGTTTCCCGAGTGCTGTAGACATTCCTGCCATGCAGCCTGTCTTGACGGACGCGTTGCCTCTTGCATTTCCTGTGCCATTCGCGCAGGCCCGGGGCTCCTTTGCTTTGCAATCGCAAAAAGTTGCAACGAGGCTGCGCTGTGGGCGGCTGATCTTCCGGCCCTTCGCTTATGCGACTTTGGCGTCGATGACCGGCAGGAGGTCGAAAGAAGCATTATGAACTGCTTCCCAAGCTTGCGTTGAGAATTCAAGGCTTGATTGTAGAAGCGAGACTGGTGAATGCCTGAAGCTCTTCTTGTTTAGCAAGAGCTGCAACTTGGCGCATGCTACGCTCTGCGCCAGGGTTGCCCAGCGCAACCAGAGCATGGGGGCGCTGGGTTTCTGTCCACCGTCTTCACTTGGAGGCACGCCCGCGCAGCTACGGGAAAGTCAAAGGGAATTTCAAATTTTCTGGTGGACAAATTCCAAGATCATCGTGCTTATGCAAGGTACGCCCTGAACAATATACGCGCAATCATGGCCTTGGAGGCATCATGTTTCAATTATCTGGCGCCTTCTCCGATCCTGAGCTGCCTGCAATGCCAGGCACCTAGAGGCAGCTCATCCCTCCCTACGGGATCGACAGAAGCTGTTTTGTCCCTGCTGCAAGCTCTTGATGCTAGAAGGCAAGACGCATGCCATGTGCCCTTGTGAGAGACGTCAAGTGAGTCTTTCAGCGTTAAGGATGGCCTGATGCAAATGCCGATTGTCGCGCAGCTGGCGGTCAGTTACTCAAATCTTGCGCCTTTCCCGCGCTCATACAAGTTGAATGCTTGGGTCTTCAGGACATCACTGCGGCAGCACGGCAGCTTCTCAATGAACTCAGGCATTGACCACCTTGTTTGAATTTCTCTGCAGCGGCGTTGCTAACGGAAGGCCGTACTTGGAAGTGCAGCCACCTCTTGTCTTGACGGTTCCCCTGCATCCGCCAGTTGGCATAACTCTAGTTCCTGTTGCGCAACGCGTGGTAGCCGAGAGAGGTTTGTCCTTCAGCAGCTGAGGCAAGCAAACTACTGGGCCTGGCCTGCCGATGGCAAAACCAGCACCCCAGCTTGAGAAGCGTGATTTTTTTTAAAATGTACGCGTCTCTCAGAAACGCACGAAAGGTCTCCGAGATGCAGCTTTCGTGCTGCGAACCGGAGCCCGCATGCCGGCGATTGGCTTTGGCACCTGGCGGCTTTGGGCGAAGGAGGCCTATCAACCCGTCCGCTTGGCCTTGGAAGCTGGCTATCGACACATCGACACAGCGGAAGGCTATGCAAATGAGGCAGAGATCGGCCGTGCCATTCTGGACAGCGGCATCCCGAGAGATGAGATATTTCTGGCAACGAAAGCCTCGTCAGTGCCCAAGGCAGGAAGCTAAGACTTAATCCGGCACTTTGCGTGTGAATGCGTCGGGATCTGTACTTGTTTGAAGGTGGTGGCAAAAGTAGGCTTGTGTTTCACGCTGCTCCCTCGACAGATTCTCAGATCCAGGTGGGTGGGGTCGAGTAGAAGCAGAGGTTATCAGTATCATGGAGAAGTGTTTGAAAGGAGGTGAGTTGGGGAAATCCCAAAGTCCACGTCTCCAGAGAGCAGCTTTGAGAGCTGTGGGAGTCCATGCGGCTATGCCGAAACAGGGAGCAGAAGATAGAGTGTGAATTGTCAAGCGAGGATGTTAAGGCACCTCCGTCAGGGCCAGGAGTGCCCGGAGAGGCTGGTCTCTGCCTCAGGAAAGGAAGGAGAAGGAAAAGGAGAAGGAGAAGCAAGCAGAGGGTGAGGTGCAGCTTCCACCTGGCTATGAAGGCGTGTTTGGCGGCATCCATGGCAAACTCTGAAACTCTTGCCTGCGTGGCACTGCGTGGGTAGAAAGACACAAATCAATTTCGGTACGTGCCGAAAGTGCTATGGCATGCAGCTTTTTGCGCAGGCAAAACTGTCTGAAAAGGAGGTAGGCGGAGCTTCAAATGCTGAAAGTTGCAGTAGTTAGTTGGGCTTGACGTCACAATTTGTGCCGCGAGAACTCTTGAAGATCTTGTTTGTACTTACAAAGCCCCACGCATTTTGATTTGGACTGTGATCCCACTCGTGCCTTGCCCAGTGCAACTGAGCCGATTCGCGCGATCCTGAAACCCATGCCGCGAAAACGAGGCGCCCGATCCCAACTTGTCTCACATCGCGAGCAGACCTAGCCAGAGGATAGACCCCACTCGTGAACTCTCACTCTGAGGAGATGCCTGGTAACGGGTCGAGCCTACCCCGCCTTGTAGCCGCAGAGCCTAGACAAAGACATGAGCATCGAAGCTTTGTAGCATTGATTGGCACCAAGGGGCTGGCGGACATCGCCTATTCTGCAGACATATTGGCATTTCAGCTAGGCCAGCTGGGAACCGACTATGTGGATCTTTACATGATGCACACACCCCCATCAGACCCGCAGCAGCTGGAAGCACTGTGGAGAATCATGGAAACATTCTTTGAACAGGGTCGAGCCAGGGCACTTGGAGTGTCCAATTGCGATGTACGCGAGTTGCAGCTAATCCTTGACTTTGCCAAGATACCTCCTTCTTACGTGCAAAACCTGTTCAAAGTCTACAAGCCCGGCGAGCAGATCCCTGTCTCAGATGTGGTTGCTTTTGCGCATCAGAATCAGATAGCCGTGATGGGCTATTCTGTTCAAACTGAATGGCCGCACATCATGCTACCATTACATGATCCACATGTACTAACTATTTCCAGCCACGTCGGGCGAACTCCATCGCAAGTCCTTCATCGCTGGGCACTTCAACGTGGCGTTGGCGTGATCCCGAAATCTGCAACGCGCGAACGCATCTTGGAGAATTCCAAGCTGCTGGACTTCGAGCCCCGTGGCCAAATCATTTGTTGAAGGCTGTTAGTATGAATGTATGCAGTTCAATGATCTTGAATTGTTGCTTGAGCCAGCAGCTTTATGAATAATGTGCCCAGGCTGCCTGCCGACGTGATGCGGCTCCTTGATGGCTTGGCCACACTGTCTGAATCCGGTGCGGCTGAGATCAAACCTGCACAGGAGGACTCCAGAATTTGTCGTGGTCGGACAGGGATTGCCCTTTGAAGTCTGCCTCCTCAGCATTTGCCTTCTCAACACCTCCGCAAGTGAGAGAGACAGAGCAGGAGTGTGCAAGGCAATGCAGTTGCGCCTGATTGCAGATGCGATTTAATCCAGTGCGCACGTACCAAGATGACATCGGTACGCTGACATTAGAGTTTTGAGTGGCAAGCATCTAGACAAGCCAGCAAACATTGCAGGTTCGGCTGGTGCACAATGTTAGCTTGAAAGCGGCTGCTGGCTGTCTGCGAGCACCCACATGTTTGTTGTCGAGACAGAGTTTATGAGTGCGCCCAAAACCAGCAAGACACTTCGAGTTTGAAGGGTCGACGATGACAAAAAGCCTTCGAAGCCAACAGTTGTCATGTGGCTGAGCCAGCTTAGACATGAAGCATGCAATAAGAATGCAATGAGGAGCAGGAATGTGCATGACTGCGTCACGCGTCTCGAAGCAAGTGCCGACATTTTCGCCTTCCTGCCATAATCAATAATAGGCATATAGTGTCAATATTGAAGTGCGAGCTCTGGTCATGTTTGAAACTTATGCGCTATGCATCTGATGTTTGAACATACATTCGCGGAAGGATGTTTTTGGCCTCAGCAAGGTCTTTGACGTGCCTTAGCTTTGGATGAGAGGCCGGTTCTGTTGCACCTCATGCTTTCTTTCTCTGCCCAGGACCGGCGAGGTCTCCAGAATGCCAGACAAGGGCCGAGGTGCTCAGAATTGCGCAGCTGGTTGTTGCTTTTTGGCTCTTGGAAGCGTCCTGCAAAACCATCAGGCTTGAAGATCCTCGTGACAAGGGCTTCCCTTATGTTGCCATTAGCGTGGCACCCAGCCAAAATGGAATATTGCTTTCTTAAGCAATGACCACTCAGGAGACCATCTTCTTGGTGCGCCGGTGGCATTAGACCCCTCTTCGTGCCGACAGGCGCGAAACATGCAGAGAGCAGCAGGAAGCTGACCAACCATATCCTTCGGCATTTTTCAGATGTGCCTCGATGAGCCGCGTTGTGCAGCCTGGGAAGTCTGCACGCCCTTGAGTCCTGAGGCGGGCAGTTCACAGTTCAGTTTGCAAAGTCTGATTCAACTTGAAAGCCTTGGCTTGCCTTGTCCAGGCTGGCTGTGGCGGATGCTACTTAATTGGTCACGTTTCCATGCCTCCAATGAGTATAACAGGTTGGCATGCCCAAGCCTCGGTAAGGAGAAGCACTGCAGTGCATTCTTGCAGGACCCACCTTTGCATTCATTTTGCAAGGCTGCCATTGAGCGAAGACCCTGACAGCACGAATTCTGCTGCGGATCTCGCAAAAGAAGGAGCTTGCATGCTAGGATGTTTTTCAGCGAGTTGGCCTGTATGTAAGCTCATGCCTACATGGTTGGGATCCCCATCCCCGCCCTAAACTCAGCGCCGGATGCTGAGGTTCTCTGGAATGGTCCAACCTGACCAGCTATGAGGGAGAGTTCAGGCAAGGTATGGCAAGGTTTTGCTAGCTCTTGTTAGCTTGTCGTCCACTGTGTCATAGCTTAACAGGCACGGCCAGTACCACGGCAACGGGCGCTTTTTGTGGCCGCTGCCTCAAGAGCCCATCTGGCTGCAGACTTGCTTTTGCAGCATTCCAGGCCAGGAGGAAGTATCTACGATGGCACCTGGTCACAGGGATGCATGCACGGCCGTGCCCTTGTTTAGATTCAGCCACAAGTTTCTGCGCGACTGAGAGTGGGCTTCAAGGCCGTGGAATACTTGGTAGCGCTGGAGATGACACTTTTGAGTTGGGAACATAGCATCAACATCGCAAACTATGTTGAATCCGCTTCAGCCATCCAATCACCTGAAAGGCCGTTCGTGTACGCCAATGACTCAGCACCATATGATCTCGCTGCGCACAGGAGAGCTTTGCAGCAGGTTTTGCAAACGGAAGCTTATTAAGGTCGGAGATTTTTGCCTTGGAGAATTCCAAGGCCTTTGCAAGCCATCGTGCTCAGTCTTGACCTGGTTGGCTTGCATGGTGGACTGATTTGGCAACTGTGGCGATGGTGCAGATGGATTAATTTGATGGGGTCGAGTTGTGGCTCAGGACGCATCTCTTAGTGCAAATCTTGCATCCCAAACAGATTCGAGAGGGTGCATGTTTCAACTGAGCTTGCAAGCAAATTGTGCTGAGCAGCTCGTTCTGCAGTAATTGCAATGCACAAGCAGCAAGAGCATCTTACCTCACAACATTCCTGAGCACTGCGTGCAGCATGGCAGTCGCCGCAGATGACGTGGATGTCCAAGCGGCCACCACTCTTTTGCATCGTTGCCGAAAGGCACATCAGGACTTGATGAAGTGTGCCATGGATGAGGAGGTCCTCCTTTCCAAGTTAGCATTTCAGCTCCAGCACATGAGAAACCCGAGTACTTCAGTGACAGGCCAGGCAACAAGCCCAATCTCCAGAGGAGTCGAGGGCGAGAAGCTCGGGATGAAACCGGAGGATACCATGCACATCATGCAGCCCTCCCGGCTGCTGGGTGAAGAGCGAAGTCCAGACCTGCAAGAAGTTGAGTCACGCGCCTCGCACGGCTCAAGTGAATCAAGGCGGCGTGCAAGTATCCGGGAGTTGAAAGGTTTGGACAAGATACCATCTGAGAGCGTGTCACCGCAGTACGCGATCGTGGGCATCGAAGGCACAGGTCGTCCTGTGGTTCGCAACGGCTTGGTGAACATGCTCAGGTCAAACTTCTCTTCCACAAAGGAGGAATACAAGTGGCCATGCTTTAGCATGCTGGCGCAGTGCCTTCTCTCTTTGACTGTCTTCCTGGACCGGTTATGGTCCTTAGAAGAACCGGAAAGAAGAGGCTGCCTTCCTCGAGTTGTGAATAGCACATTTTTCGGCATGTTATCCACCTGTGTGATACTGCTGAATGCTGCTTTCATCTTGTATACAACGGACCTGGAGATGAATAGCATCGAGCATGCCCTGGGCATGGACAACAACGTCAAGCTGATTGAATTGTTGCTAGCATCAGTTTATGTGGTGGAGGTGATCCTCAAACTCATGGTGCACAGGTTGTACTATTTCTGGAACAACGAGATGGCTTGGAATTGGTTCGATTTCATTCTTGTCGTGTTCTCCATCTTTGAGAACCTTCTGGTCTATGACCTGCTACCAGGACAGAACAGCTCGCCAGACACGCCATCCAGTGTCAATCTAAGCTTTTTGCGGCTGATTCGTCTGTGCAAGATTGTGAAGATTTTGCGTGTGTTTCGAACTTTGAAATTCTTCAGCGAGCTCCGGCTGATGCTGGACTGCGTGCTGGGGTCTCTCATGAACGTGATGTGGTGTGTCATCATGCTGGTGTTTGTGATGTATGTGTTCGGGCTTTTGCTGCAGCAGGGCATCGTGCAGTATTTCATGGAGGAAGCGGTGGTAAGTGAGGAAGCATCCTTGGCACTCTTGACCTACTTTGGCTCTGTCGGCACCACGGTGGTCACATTGTTCCAGTCGTCTACTTCTGGAGTGGATTGGAACGAGCCGTACAAAGCCTTGCACTACACTGGGACAGTCATGCCTTTGGCATTCCTAGCGTACGTTGCCTTTGTGTTCATTTCCGTGTGGAACATTGTGACGAGCACTTTCGTGGAAAAAGCTTTGAAGCTGGCTCAGCCGGATGTGGACATGCTGATCCTCGAGCAGCAGCTTCAAGACTTCGAGGATTGTAAGATGCTTTCCAAGTTGTTCCGAAACATGGGCCCAAAGGATGCCGAAGGAAGTGGTCGCATCGGAATGGAAGAGTTTAGCCGCCTGGTCGAGACTTACGAGTTCAGATCCTACCTACAGACAAAAGGCATTGACATCAAGAACGCGGAAACCTTCTTCAAGATGCTTGTAGAGCTGCAAGGGGAACACACACTGGATGCAGCCACATTTGCCAATGCCTGTGTGCGCATGAAGGGCGCTGCGACGAGCATTGACTTGCAGACTGTGATGTTCACAACGCATCTCATGAACAAAGAACAACGAAAGTTTTTCCATTCCTTGCAAGGCCGCCTCTCCAACATTGAGTCGATCCTCCTTGATGACCCAAGCATGAGCCGCAGCCCTGCTGACATCATACCAGTACCGGCTGCAGAGGCAGACGCATCCACTTCTTTGCATCGTCTATGACGACTCAAATCTCGAATCTAGTCTTCTGACATTGTCCGGCAGGCAGAGTTTTGATTTGTACAGCGCAGAGCCGGCAAGGACATCCGCCACAGTTTCACAAGAAGATCCAATAGGCGTTTTCACACATGCACCCACAAATGTGGCCTGCTTGTGAAGTATGTCTTGCAAGGCTGAGCATGATCTGGTCGCTTCTCGGGAAAGTTGAGTTTTTGTGGAGATGGCGTGTGGGTAGGGAAGCGCAGCTGCCAAGCAGCACTCATAGAAATTCTTGGCAGCCAGCATCAGGCCATGCCTGACCTAGCCGTTTCGGCCCAACAGCCAGCCGGGCACGGCAAAGTCGAATTTCCGAGCCTAATATGTTGCTCATTCGAGGTATTTATTGCATTTAAGTAGATCTTAGCCACATCCAGTTGCGCAGCAGCAGGTCAAGGCAGTCTGGCTGTCAGGGGCAAGGACACAGCAGCGGCAGTAGTGCCTTTGAGCGTCTTTCTGCCATGTCGCTCACTTCATGGTGTCCAGGCTTCGCTGCTGTGAGCAAAGGTGAGGAAGAGGATGCGACTGAGCTGCTGCAGCAATGTCGAGCAATGCATCAAGATCTCATCAAGCTGGCCATGGACGAACAGGCTTTGCTCTTCAAGTTGTCGGCGGGACTCCAACGAGTGAAGGATTCCGAGAGCGTCCAGATCGGAATCGATGCCTCCGACAGTGTCCACAACTACCGCATGCCAGCAGAAGAATCCCATGTTCTGTCAGAGGCAGCTGAAGAGATCCCGGTTGTTGCAGTCATCCATGAGACAGGGGAGCGTAGGCTCTTGCGATTTGGTAGTCGTCAGAGTAAAAGCTCTGAATTTCTTACTGAATCTGTTGATGCCAAGAGATCAATGACCTCCGCCTCAGTCGCTTCATCGGACAAAGTGTCAACCAAGAAATCACGAGCAGGCTTGGACCTGCCAGGGCAGCGAGTTCATTCAGTTCCTTCGGACTCTAGCCGTCCCTGCTATTCCATCAACGGCATTCGTGATCGGGAGAACCCATATCTACAGACAAGCGTGCTCAACATCCTGAGGACCAACTTTTCATCATCAGCAGAGGAATACAGGTGCTGGTGCGGCGGCCAGTTAGCAAGATGTGTGCTGTGGTTCACAGTCTTTCTGGAGAACTGCTGCTCCTTAGAAGAGCCAGAACGGCGGGGGCGTCTAGCACGCTTTGTGAACAGTACTCTTTTCTCTATATCCACCGCCAGTGTGATCCTCCTGAATGCAGCCTTCATTCTGTACACGACCGACCTTGAGATGAACAACATTGACCAGCCGCTCAGTACAGATAGCAACATCTATTACATTGAGCTCGTGCTGGCATCCTTCTACGTGGTCGAGCTTCTGCTCAAGATGATGGTCCACAAGATCTACTTCTTTTGGAATGCTGAGATGGTGTGGAACTGGTTCGACTTCTTCCTCGTAGTTTTCTCCGTTATCGAGAACTTGCTCGTGTATGATCTGATGCCAGGGACATCAACTTCAGCTGTTACTTCTACGGATGGAAGTTCCTCCAGCGTGAATTTGGGTTTCCTGCGACTGGGCTGCTAATGGCTGGTAAGTGTCCATCACTTCTGCAATCAATAAATGACAATAGCATGACAAGCTACTGGTAATCATGCTTCTGATTTGCCAGAGGCTCGCCAGAGAACACTGAAATGCATGCGCTCATGTCAGCACTTGAGGGATTAGATCTACCCAAAGACCAGAAACGGATCACGAAATCGCAGTACAAGCAGCGCGGTAGGCCAAGCAGTTGAAAGCCTCAAGGACCGGAATTTCATACTTGCGTGATGCCAGCAGGATTTTTTGTTTAAGTGCAGCCTGCAGCGGTGGATGCTAAGATAAGATGCGGCATTTGTCGCACTTTGTTGCCATAACATTTGTGAATCTCAGGCGTTTAATTCGCCTGTGCAAGATTGTGAAGATTTTGCGTGTGTTCCGCACCCTGAAGTTCTTCAGTGAACTACGCCTGATGCTGGACTGTGTGCTGGGGTCCCTCATCAATGCCATGTGGTGTGTCATCATGCTGGTGTTTGTGATGTACGTGTTCGGGCTTCTGCTGCAACAAGGAATTGTGCAGTACTTGATGGAAGCTCGGAAAACCATGAGTGCAGAGGCTAATGAGGCAATCATGACGTACTTCGGCAGTGTGGGACAAACCGTCGTTACACTGTTCCAGTCGTCCACTTCCGGGGTGGACTGGAATGAGCCGTACAAGGCTCTCCTTTTCACAGGGCAGGTCATGCCGGTGGCATTCTTGGTCTATGTTGCTTTTGTGTTCATCTCAGTGTGGAACATTGTGACGAGCACTTTCGTGGAAAAAGCTCTCAAACTGGCACAGCCCGACGTTGATATGCTCATCTTGGAGCAGCAGTTGCAGGATTTTGAGGATTGCAAGATGTTGTCCAAGCTCTTCAAGAGCATGCGCCCCACAGATGATGATGGCACTGAGCGCATTGGAATGGAAGAGTTCCGGCAGTTGGTCGAGACATATGAGTTCCGGTCCTATCTTCAGACGCGAGGCATTGACATCAAGAACGCGGAAACCTTTTTCAAGATGCTTGTTGAGCTGCAGGGAGAGCCTATGATTGATGCCACAACTTTTGCCAATGCCTGTGTCCGCATGAAGGGAGCTGCGACAAGCATTGACTTGCAGACAGTCATGTTCACTACGCATTTGATGAACCAGGAGCAGCGAAGGTTCTTCCAGTCGATGTGCAACCGCTTGATGACCATTGAAACTATCCTGCACGATGAACTTCCTGCTAGTCAGGTCGGAGAACATGAAATTCCAGGTCCTTTTCTGACGCAAAGCCCGATAGCTGACACTCTTGACACCGAAGGTGCAACCAGGAGTGGTTCGCTGCGATTGTAAGGCGTACATCTCAGGCTTTAGAAGTAGTGACTCTCACACTGTAGGTTTGCTAGACATCTTCTTGTGCCTCTACTGTGTGTATGCCACTGTATGTTTCACCGCACGAAAAACCTTCCGAAGATCACGAAGGATCATTTGCCGGCCAAGCCGGCATGAGCTGACAATTCCTTGGCGCGCGGAGAAAATTGTGGGCTGAGACTGCCAGTTGTTATTTGCCTTTGTGGTTCTGGCACGGTGCTTTTAAGCATTGTCCACAACCGTTTTGGGAGGTTGTGGTTCAGCACTGGGCCAAGTTTGGCCTGCCGTGTGTGTGTGTGCGTGTGTGTGATGCATTTTCATTTTGAACCACCAAGTTCCTTTCACAAGGTGACTTTCCTGAAGTCTGAGGGCGGTGGAGAGGAGGCACTTGCTGATGCACTGTTCGAATGTCTGTTCAGATGCCCATGTTGGAGGATTGCTACACCGGTGAATTTCTGGAGTCCAAGTTCCATGGCACCAGCCTTAAAGCTGGAAAATCTTCCTCTTTACTGGTTGCTGTTAAGGAAATTAATTTTAGGTACCGTACTCTGGGCATATAATTATGCGTAGAATGATTGTGTTTCATCATAATATCTTACTTCAAGTTCCTTAACAGCAACCCAATTTACTTGCTCATTGTTAGTGAGGGAATATGTGAGTTTAAGAGCCAAGACGAGTCCCAGGCCACGGCGTCCTCACTTCCGTCGACCGGGCATCTTTGCTTCCGCGTTCTGCGTGGGCGTGCTTCACTTATTGGTGGTTGGTAGGGAATGAGGGAATGCAGGGATTATGTTCCCGACTGTCAACCAGCAAGGTTTAGTCTAGTCTAGTCTAGTTTTCACAAGGCGTTGCACACAGAACTTTTGATGGGGCTCTTGTCAAGAGCTTTCGTCTCGCGCAATTTGGAGTGCGCGGCATAAACCATGTGGGCAACATGGGCCATGCCTGCTTGCTCAAGTCTCGACATGGAAGCCGGAACTGTTGGCCAGGCATCCGGATGCAAAGTCTCTGGTCTATTTGAGAATGGGCACTGCATTGCAGTCGGCTCAGGGGCTCAAAGCCCTTCCAACCTGCTTAGATCTATTTGATGTGTGGTGGCCTGTGAGTCGGCAGGGTGGTCAAAAGACGGAGCCGTCTGGAGATGCTGGAAGCTTGGTTTGTGCTTTGACAGACGCGGAAGAAGAAGGTGCTGCTCGAATCTTTCTGGTCTTTCTGAAGCAAGGAAAGGACTCCAACATGTTGGGTTGGAGCGCACTGCAGGGTGGGAGCGGGGGTGGGAAGCAGCGGGTGTGTGGAGGTGTCACACAGCTACATGCTTGTAAATGCCAGTTGTATCGAGAGCTGGTTGGCAGGAGAGGGTGAAGCTCAACATGTCTTCATGTAATTGATGTCATGAGGCTCCCGCGCATGCAAGCTTTCGAGCAAAGACTTGCGAAATACTTCCCAAAAGCACCACATCCCGACAAAGGCTGAGCAAAACACATGTTTCTTTTCCAAGGTCTATGTGGGCGAGCTGCAGAGGCACCGGATTAGCATGTTTTGAAAGGGCGGCTGGGTCCAGCCCCACATTTGGCCGCTCCGATGCTCCAAGCGACCCGTTGCTACTACACAAAGTGCTTTCAGTACACTACACATTCCGAAGCTCCCAAGCCGCCGAACCGGAATCGTTTCGTCAGATGCTCCGAATTGGGAGGATTAGGGAGCTGTTGGGGTCGCAGCATGTCGCAGCGGCATAAACCGCGCGTGGCAGCATCGATCCAAAGGGGCTTCTCCGTTGCACCAGCGCATTGCCGCAGAAGCACTCCAGACACCAAAGCACCGGTGGAGCGGCGCAAAAAGTTGTTGGTCCGAAGCTCCCGCAAAAGTATTGTGCTGGAGCATCAGCGCAAAAGTCCAAATGCGCCGCTGCTTCCTGGTGTTTTGGAATGCTGTCAAGTGTGCAAGGAGTCAAGAACATGGACCTGGCATTCTACATGGCGAGCAGCATCACGCAGGAGTGGCCTCCAGAGACATGCGGCAAGAAACTTCATGACATGAGCTATAGTCTAAACTCATAGTATCCCCTTCATGAGCCCTATACTACTCCCCTATATTATCCCCTGTATAACCCCCTTTAAGGAGTTTAGAACCTTGCTTCAAAAAGACTATAGTACACCGGGGTCTGGCAAGGATTCTGGATTGAATCGAAGCTGGCCAGCGTGCCGGTGCCTTTGCAAAGTTCCCAAAGCTGTCCCCGGAGCCTTGCTGAAATCCGCAGAAGCCTACTTGGAGGGTCATAGGGGCTAAGTAAGGAGCTTAATAATGGGGATAATTAGGGTTACTGTATGGCTTATAGGGGTTCTTCACCTGCTTACAAAGTCCCCCTGATCCTCCAAGTAGTCTGGGTTGCTGTTAAGGAACTTAAATGAAGTTACTATATTGGGGAAACCCTATTCTTTACTACACATAATATATACCCATGATGGTAATTTAATTTAAGTTCCTTAACAGCAACCCAGTAGTTCCCTTTGCCCATTTTTCCATTCCGAAGCTCTGAGGCTGAATTACCTTGGCTCAGGCCATTCTCGTGCTTGGCGCCTTGAGAGCCTGTATTGGGATAATGGAAAAGAAAATGGAAACTACTATAGGGTTATATAGGGATATATCATACTGGGGGTATATAGGGATAATGGAAAAGAAAATGGAAACTACTATAGGGTTATATAGGGAT